TCGTGAAGAGTTGCCTACATGAGTCTCTGACAGGATAAAGAAGCCTGTGAGATCTCCACATATGTATGTATTGCTTCACTGTCTCAATGCAAACACCCCCCTTCGGCCCGTCGTTCCTCCACTAAAATAAAATCAGGTCACCCTCCCAATTCTCCCCCTGTAAACGAATCGTCCAACACTTCATCCCTCGGGACACTGGAGCACCAAACACAAACGCACAAATCGAATTTTTCAATGCCACCAGTAATCAATTTTTATAAGGAAGGAAGACGAACGGTGAAATAACATTAGCTCTGTCTAAACATATAAAATTCAATATCAAGAAAGAAACATTTGCTCTCGTTCATACGGTGCTTGTATTCGGGGAAGAGGGCGAGATAAGGTCATGAAAATTTAGCTTAACTCCCCCCCCTGACGTCATTTATTATCACAAAAAAGATTTAATTATTTAATACTGTAGTGGATGTTTATCGAAGTAAACTAAAATTCACCTACACAATTAATTTTTAATGTTTATGAAAGTAAGCTGAAAATTCAGTTTTTGCAAATTATTTTTCGCAGGGATTTGAAATCATCGCAAAAAAATATTTATACCCCTATGTAAAGTGGCTGATATGATCATTCGATCTAAATCGAACCTGAAATGGTTCGACAGTTCTTCGAAAAACTTTCAAATATTAAATTTGATTCAAATAGATATTTCAATAGGGCAGGTTTGAAGCTTCTTACACATCGAAAGAGGAAGTTTGAATTTATGAATTGAGATTTTATTTGATGACGTCATTACAATAACTAATTTTAACCACGAAGAGGTCATTCTCGAAGATTACGTTGGTGTATAAAAATTGTGAGGTGTCCGTAGGTCGAAGTGTATTCAGTCTTACATATAACAGCTTCCGACGAATGAAAATCATCTCAGGCTGTTAAATTTTTATACGTGCTGAAGAGAAACAGTTTAAATATTTTATCCGTATTCTACAGGGGTTGACTGTACGTCGTATCCGACCTGGTTAGTGGCTCCGTACGTCACAACGACTATGTGGGTACCCTGACCCCAGATTGCCACATTAAGTATGTATACGAAGGGCTGGGGGTTGGTTTAACCACTTTCTCAACCCTAGACGAGGCAATGAAGTATTGCGGCTTCTTCTAAAGAAGACTAAATAACTCAAGTGACAAGAATTACAGTTTTCACTAACAATTTAGATTTAATTAACTAAATAAATTCCACAAATTAGAATATGTCTTGAGAAGCTAATATACGGTTAGCTAGAAAAGAAATTCCCTGCTTTTTACGGAGTCAGAATGTTCATTATTATGCACACAAAAGCCCGCCATTGATCTCAGTCAACATTCTGATATTCCATTCCTTTGTGGTAAATTTTAGTATTATCTTCCCATGTAGAGCAAGGTCTGCTAAGTAATCTCTTCTTTCTATATTCCCGGATTAAAAATTCTGTATACATTTCTGCATCTCCCCATCCTTTTTGTCTAACCCACCATATCTTCCTTATTTGATTGTCATAATAATATTTGGTGAATAGCAGGAACTTACGGAGGTTCGGATTATCCAAGGGCCTGCCCTTCCTCTGACTTAAGTACGCCAACCGACAACCGAATAGATCATGTTACATTAAAAATTACTGATAAATTTTAACAACATGAAATTAATCTGCCTCTTTACTTCGCCATTCAAACTATAAAGACGCCTTAAACTTTAGCGTCACTTATAATCTGTTCATCTTCATAGCTCAAGGATGATTAACTTTTTTGTGAGTTATCTTTCCGTTGCCTTGGTTACGCCCGTCTGACTGAAACTCAAACTAGCGAACAGTCATTCAAGTGTCGGTTGCTTCTACTTTGTTCGGGTTCCGAACCAAGCGATTCCCATGAGAAGGCAGCATTCGCCGAGGGAAATTAAAAGTTTGGTCGAACACGTGAAAGAAACGAACTCAGTGCGGGTGGAACCGCGTCTGTGGGTCTACCAGCCAGCCACGACTGCTTTCAAGAGGAAAGGAGAAACACAAATTTCGTCCTACCCCCTAATTAAAATATATGTAACCTAAATCACATAGGTAAGACGATGCTACTTGTGTATGTAAAAACTTAAGTTACCCCGCCATTTAGATGGATAGGAGAGTGGAGATATTAGCTCCACATATTCATAACGTCGTTACTATATGATCAGAATAATTTTCGATTTTCAGACTAAACAAATATGCTAACTAACTTCATTTAACAGGGTTTTTCTTGTGAAGCTAAAACAATCAAAACTTCGGTTCATTATTGTGTTTATAAAAGCCCGTCACGTCTTCTTATCAACAGCCATATTGATTTTATCAGAATTCTTAGACCCCATCCTTAAAGACACTTAGAATTCCTATGCAACATCGCGGTATCGAATATTTCCCGCATAATCGATTTTAGTTCAAATATTACAATATTTTATTATCACGACAGAGGCTTAGGATTACAGAATTGTGATGGGAAATGTGAAAGATCAGAAGGAAAGAGATTTTTGTAAGAAAATAAAAATTATTGTGCTGATGATTTTTGGATAATATAATACACAATAGTTCAGGATAATCCAAACCAATATTGGAAAATCGACGTCACGCCAAGCTATGCAACGAAGCGACCTAAGGATTCAAATGCGAATTATCCCTCGCGACAAGCTGACATATTTATTTTCTTTACATGCGAAGAGTACGCCACGGTGGTCTAGCGGTTAGAACGCTGGCCTTGTAATCCTGGGGTCTCGGGTTTGATTCCCGGCAGTGCCCGAATTTATAACTTGTGTTGGGCAAGGCCGTGGTCTAGGCAACACGGAGTTTTCTTCCGGGGGCTTCTTCCTCGGTTTGTCTGTGGCATCCCAACAATTACTCCATTCACACACAGAAGAAGGCAATGGCAAAACACTTCTGGATCATCTGCCAAGAACGTATATGAAAAGGATGGAAGGATCCTGTTCATATGGACCTGTCGTCAGACAGAACACTAAATAAATATAAATAACATGCTAAGAACAGATATTACATTAATGCCTGCAATCTGGGGGAATCACTTCGTGTGGCGAAACAAAGGATGATGCCGACGACGCAAGATTTGGAGCGGAGGGGATGGAGGTAGATCGAGATGAGGCACCAGGGAATTAAAATTCACGGTGTCGTCTTGTAGGGACCGAGCCGGTGTGCCAACTTTCATCCACTTGGGAATTTTAAGTTTTTTTTCTGAACAAGTAATCAGGAGAGGCTTGTCATTATAATAACGTGCGATGCCTTTGTAAGAGAAATTAGGAATTTTTTTTTTTGCATATTTTCGGTATAGGAAACAGCAAAACGAGACAAACCAGGAACGGAATTTCACGTGCGAAAAATAAATAAACGGAAGAGATAGATTAGACGGTTATTTAACAACGCTGTTTCAACTGTAAATGTTGAACAGATGTCAAATAAAATAATCATGTTCAATCTTAAAGTTCACATTCTCGAAATGTCTCTGAATCCACTGCATTTCAGAGATTTTTCACTTAGGCTGTTGTTGCGTTTAACGGCCAAATGAAAAAGCTAAGAAAATAAGACATTCTTAATGATTTTCTGTAGATTCGTGACATTGGTTGATTCGTTATGGAAATACAGTGTTGGACATTGTTCACAGTTCGTGGAATACTTGGTATACACGACGTTTCGGGAGTTACCTCTTCAGGAGACCGGCATTCGCTGTACTTAAATATATTTTGTCACTAATAATAAAAACACCTTGTTCAATTACTTACGCCTGTTTTACATGGAGTTGGCTGTATGTCCACATGTACAGAGAAGGGATTCATTATGCACTTGAAATCAGAGGGGAATGTTCGATGATAAAGCGGCAGATGTTGTTCTGAGGCAGATCTCCTCCCTTAACTAGCTTTTCATCCCTACTATAAAATTCACATTTCGCAGGGCACTACTATAGAGAGACATAAACTTATTCAGTGCATTATCCATTCGAAAATGGGGCCAAATAGTACCGTATCCGGGTTAAGTGTGTACTAAAACTTTCAGTTAATTGCTTTGAACCAGTACGGTTATCATAATCAGCAAGAACATTGTAACCTACTAAAGATTCAATCAGCAACCCATGATAGAAATTACCCTTGGTTATGCTTCGTGTACGTGAATGTTGGAAAAATAGTAAAATTCCGTGAAATTTCGGGTCCTCGCGGAGGCAAGTATGAATATTAATGTCTTCTGGGATATCGCACCGTGGCCTACATTTCAGAGGTGCTTCCTAGTTCCGTCACCAGAACACTCAACGCCCTGATGATAGAGGCAGTAAACGCCTCTGAAACGTCGGACAATTTGAGACGAAGCCCGAAGGACATATCCCGTTGCCACTTCGTTCACCGCAAATCCCAGACTGATTGCCGTTGGATCAAACCCGGGTGATGATGGCCAGCGACAAGTACCTGAGCTATGACACAGCCAAAAATGTAACTTAGCAGAAGGGAACGAGACCTTTTACATATGAACAAGGATGAAAGTAGAATATTCACTCATAATTTATGTAGATTTTTATGTTTCAAATACGTTGACCGCACTGTGTTTAAAACAAAAGAATCTAATTCAACAATAATATCTAAATATCTGATTTTATTCAAACAGAAGACGCTTGTATTTTCGTGTATGAGGCAGAGAGCCAATGTAGCGATACATTGTGTTTGCACAAAGCAAGGGCAGCGTAATTAGGCACATGGAACTCCTAACAAAGCGCTAGATAATACACCAGGCACAGTAGCTACTGTACTTGAAATTAAACGGTCTATACTTTATTATTCATTAGCAATCCAGGATGTGCGAGGGATGAGGATAGAGAGAAAGCCAAGGGAAGAAGACAAGTGAAAGGGAACGTTATTCTAGAAAAGCAATTAGTCTCAAAGATAACGATTTCTCTCCGAAGTTAATTACATGGTAAGCGTTGACGAATCGGGAAACTGTAACAAACGAAACAAGCATAACCTCTCTGTAATTCTTTTTAAAATCAACTACAAGTCAGCGATTCTTTACTCATTTTAATTGTTAAATTCCTAAAGTTTCTTGAAAACATATCTGAGAACAGGTACTTCCATTTACGATGGCTAAGAATTGCTGATAAGTGTTCATAAATGTTAATTAAATACGTAACTGCCCTGAGTAAGAATTCTTCTTGAAAATAGAATTTTTCACCTAGCCTTCTACTGCAAGATTTGCTTTAATATTATTCTCCTATTTAAGATTAGGACTTCCAATCAATGGCGCTTTACTTACAAGTTTTCTAGCTAATATTTTGTATGTAATTTTCATGTTTCGCATGGCCTATCCATCTAATGTTTGGTATCATTAACACTAACATCTTGTGGTGAAGATTACAAACTACAGCAACATGACGTCATCAACTCGGTCTGCAATCAGTTGTTCAGTTAAAAGTCTACAAAGTGTAACTGCAGTAACAACTAAGATGCAAAGATAATTCAAAGTCAGTTTCCTTCTTAAAAAATCTTAATGCTGAAGCAGAAATAATCTTAATGACCTACCATCCTATTAAATGCGTTTCAAAGTGACCAATTTATATTATACGATTTTAAATCTTTGAGGTCGGATATTCAGGTCGATAATTCACTATTGAATTTAAAATTCTATCGTGTTTCTGAATGTATTAGTGAATTTCGAGAGTTTTTTTTTTTGGTCACAGATAATTGTGTACTGTAAGATTATAATGTATGTCTAAGTAGGGGGGGGGTTTAACAAGCGTAGTTTAATAATCTTGTATTCAATATAAAGTGTTAAAAGTGACATAAATGAATGCTAATGTATTTTAGTACAATTTTTCTCTATATCTTATCTTCGTCATTCTATTTGCATCGTGCGAGATATTTGGGCCCTAATCCTGAAAGAGCATTCTGTGGACTAACAAGTTGCATTGTATACACGGTGACTAATGTGTTTTCTTACCGCGGCTCTGAAATATAAAATAACAAAGTTGTCACATTTGTAAAGAAAGTTATTTTTTTTTCTTTATTTGTTTTTTTATATCCTGCAGTGCAAACTCTGCTCATTTTTAAATAAGGTTAGTAATTTTCTTGTTATTTGAATGCATACGAAAGGCGATTGTCCAAGGCGCTCCTTCAGGGTAAGAGGACAGACGAATGACAGAACGGAGGTTCCAGCAAATACGCAGTGATTTCCACAGAGACATTATGAAGGGTTCGTACTTGATTCATCTCAACTCCAGCATCCACGCCACATGAGGATTTATCATTCCTCGTCAGTAATTTGCGTAGACGTGGTTGCGATGATTAATTTTAATAGCAGTAACTCTCCAGATAACGTTCTTTGCCTCTTTCGCTAATTACCTGTTTCATTTCTGTAATGTTTTGTGTTTTGCCCAGATCTGTAAAAGAGGAAAACCACAACTTGTTAATCGAGAGTACAAAAATGAAAACAATTATATGCAATAAACATCAGTCTTGTTAAAATTTAATTTTCCTACGTCCGTAAAAATTATAATCATAATTATTATAAGATACGAGGAGGAAAATTTAAATTATAAATGTTACCATTCCATGTAAAACCTTCAGAAAACATAGTAACTGAACTCATGGCTCAATGTTCCATGGCACGCGTGGTGTATCCTGATAGGTTAGTTTATACGTCAAATGATTAAATTCTGTGGATTTACGGTTATAAAAGATCTGGAAGGGAAATAGGACAAGGAGAGCGAGAAACGACAACTACTGCAAAAGAGAAACTCAAATTGGTTTTCTCCAATCCCTTTGAAACCAAATTATTTTCTCCATTTCCTCTTGAACCATAAAGAGAACGTTTCTACGACAGATCTCGTGTACAAACTGCACACGTATCCAAGCAATTAAATGGCATTTCATAAGTCTGCAATAGCACCCGACAGATGGCATTCAGATCAGGACACGACACAACGACCATTTCCGGCATTCGTCTCACTTTTTATTGGCTCCTAAATTATAAATTACAAACACGTTTAAAGTAAGGTGTTTGTCTTGGCATAACATGTTCGACATTCAGTGACATCTAAATCTGGACGAACATAGCTGATAATTTAGTCATGATATTTTCAATAATAGCAATTCATTTATCAAGATTTGTAGTACGAACACAGGATTATATCCAACTGATTCTGCGCCCTTCAGAGTAGCCGATATTATTTGTCAGATGTAAATTACAAATAAGAATAAAGACGTAATCATCTAAGTATGTGCATGTCTAACATATTCTCTGTTGAAGATTTCCGTCTTCTGGGTTGTTGCGCTGTGTAGTCTGGTCGATGTTTACCAACGTTTCGGAGGTCATTCTGCCTCCGTCATCAGGGCGATGAAGATTTCTGTCTTCTGGGTTCTTGCGCCGTGTAGTCTGGTCGATGTTTACCAACGTTTCGGAGGTCATTCTGCCTCCGTCATCAGGGCGATGAAGATTTCTGTCTTCTGGGTTCTTGCGCCGTGTAGTCTGGTCGATGTTTACCAACGTTTCGGAGGTCATTCTGCCTCCGTCATCAGGGCGATGAAGATTTCTGTCTTCTGGGTTCTTGCGCCGTGTAGTCTGGTCGATGTTTACCAACGTTTCGGAGGTCATTCTGCCTCCGTCATCAGGGCGATGAAGATTTCTGTCTTCTGGGTTCTTGCGCCGTGTAGTCTGGTCGATGTTTACCAACGTTTCGGAGGTCATTCTGCCTCCGTCATCAGGGCGATGAAGATTTCTGTCTTCTGGGTTCTTGCGCCGTGTAGTCTGGTCGATGTTTACCGACGTTTCAGAGGTCATACTGCCTCGCCCTGATGACGGAGGCAGTATGACCTCCGAAACGTTGGTGGACATCGACCAGACTACACAGCGCAACAACCCAGAAGTCAGAAATCTTCATACTCACCGTTATGAGAACCTCAAGTCTTACATATTCTGTGTTGTTTTCTTGTAAAGTTAAACTGATCATTGCCACTGACTGCCCTCTTAAAGTAAACACATTTTAAAGCTACAGATGTAACA